CATTCCCCCGAAGGAACTGGAGGAAGTGTCTGGAGAGAGGGAAGTCTGGGCATCTTTGCTTAGACTGCTGCCCCCGCGACCCGGTCCCGGATAAGCGGAGGAAAATGGATGGATGGATGGATGGTTTTATTTTATACCATGCATTTTGCATTACGTTTACATTCATTTCTCCAGCTGTACTGAGGGGGCGGGTGTTGCCAGAGGTTCCAGGGACCACAGTTGAATTTTTGGCCGCAGCTCAGAGCCGAAATGACCTTTTTATTTTGTCCACATAATGATTTTAACGCATAACAAAGCAATCAACAAACTCTCCCGGCCTCATTAATGCTTAAAATACAGGCACACTGGCAAGTATTCGTTACAAATTTTAATATGAACAGCATCTTGCATGTCACACATAGCGGACACATTTTATTTGATTTTTAAAAAGCTGCTATAACAAAAACACAATAAGTGCCTGTCCCAGACAAGTTGGTTACAGATTTTCTCTGCTTATTTCCACTAGGCAGTGTAATCTCTGATACTGCTACCGTGAAATTTGATACAATTAGTCTGACTTTTGTTAAATCCCCACAAACTAAGCAAAACAGACTTCTAAAAAGGAAGTGTGCTCCACATTGTTCATTGTGCCACATATCTTTCATTTCCTGTCAGTTTTGTTAAAAAGTTTATACTTTGTATCGCTGGATGGATGCTGTAAATGTTTCACCCGAATGGATTTAGACGTGTTGAAATTTCACCGTCAATACAGATTCAGGGAACGCACCAATCACAAGCAAGTTTGTTAATGCAAGAGTAAATGTCAACAAAATTTTCTACCCAGAAATGACCCTTGGTATCTCAAAAAGTCCAGATTTCCGGCAAAACCCGGGGAATTCCCATCCATGTATATAAAACCAATGACGTGACATTGTGGTGGCCAGGCATGGTGCATGGTTCATTCTAGCTTATACTTTGTGTTTTAATCAGCCTTTCTGCAGAGCTCGCACTGAATAGAAGCACAAAGTCAACAACATAATGCACTGTCTAACCACAATAAATAATTACATAAGAAACAGAATGGGTAAAGCCAAGTACCTCAAAGTAGGAGGAGTGGAAGCTGAAGCAGGCTCTGAATGAACTTGCTCCAGTCCTGGAAACACAACAAAAAGACACAGTGCTCAAACTGATCAATATGACGATTTGATCATTAATCCATCACAGTGTAATACTGAATATGGCAGGAATTAATGAGTAAGTGCTCCTACTTTATTATAACACTGGTTTTTCTGCTTCTCTCTCCGAACCACATGGTGGATGGTTTGATGCTGATGATGCGAAGAGGAGTTCCGTCTGTGGCTGTGCATCCACATGGCAGCCTGTTGCCTTGGAAATACTCTTCATCCTACACACACAGAACAATCATTGATCAGATTAATGGTTTCTTTTCATCATGAGATGTACTTTTTGTCCATGTATCAAAAATATGTTTCCTGGTGCAGGTGGATTTAAAACGAGACCTTTGGGTGTCGACAGGCATGAATCTGTGTCCTGCGGTCGGTTGTCACATAGCTCAGGATCTCCGGCATCTTCCTGAACATTGCCAGAGTGTTCACGTGGATCTACAGGAAATATTACGTCATATAAAACAAATGTGCTTTGGGTTTGTACATGGAAACATGTCTATAGCCACATCTGAACTGCATTTATTTCTCCCTAAATCATAGAGGAGCACAGCGAGTCATGTGTTGCTCACCTCCCCTGTGATGTTAATCATGTGTGAATGCATCACCTGTGTGTTGAACTCTTCTCCCAGGTTAGTAAACAGGTATTCATATCCATAGGCAGCTTTACAGTTGAGCCACACAACGTGGTATGGGCTCTGACAGATCCAGTTTCCAACAAGCTCCGAGATACCACTCAGACAGACCTCCTACACACACACACAAATCACATTCTGATTTTCTGAGCAATTGTTTAACAAGTGCTATATAGCTCGGTAGTCACTTTATTAGGAACCAGCCTCAGACCAAGTCAGTCTGACCCAACAGTCCTGTAGTAAATCCTCCTCCATGAAGGTGACAGTGCTCAGTTTGTGTCCAAAATGTTTCAGAGGTGCTGGTTCACCTCTGTGGTCACTGTGGAGGCTGCAGGTTGTGCTGCTGTTCAGCTGGACTGTTATACTGAGAGGGTTTCTGGTATTTAGCCTAGCCTAGCCTCAATGATACAAATGGGGTGAACAAAATAAAAGAAAACTCAATTAACATTACCACAGCATCGCTTTGGTGAAGGGTTGTTTACTGCAGGACCTTTTTTGACGGGCAACTCAGTGTATGCTATGAAAACAGGTAACTAGAAATTATCAGTTGTAAACTCTAACATTTCCTTACCATCCCTGTCTGGATTACATCTCATAATATTTTGCTAAGCCAAGACAGCAAACACCCACACTTACCAAATCTTAAAACACAAAAAGCAACAACTTACCCGAGTGGGTATTTGATAGAATCGTGGGTCATAGAATGTAGAGTCCAGATACACACTCTGAATATCTTTAACTCTATGAAACACGAGACAAAGGTACGAGCTTTATTAACTGTGAGACAAAAAGTTGTTTCTAGAAGAAAGAACTTTTTAAAGCACAGACAAACTCGGGTGTCAAACTGGAAAAACAAAAGCATGATTCCAACATTTGTCTGATGAAGACTGAGGAAACAGAACACGTCGCTCAACAGCGACAATCTCCAACTTGTCAAAATCATTTTTTTTAAACTACTTTACTGGACAAGTGACTGATCTACACCCATGTGGTGCCTCTGTATAGTTCACAGAGACACTGAGGCTCCAAAATTTGTTTCACTCCACAATGTTTCAATACAGTGTAAAAAAGACTGTTCTATTTAGCCTTTTTGATTTAGTTCCCCTTTAATTCAGTTATGCATGTACAATATTGTTCAAAATAATAGCAGTACAATGTGACTAACCAGAATAATCCAGGTTTAGTATATTTTTTATTGCTACATGGCAAACAAGTTACCAGTAGGTGCAGTAGATTCTCAGAAAGCAAACAAGACCCAGCATTCATGATATGCACGCTCTTAAGGCTGTGCAATTGGGCAATTAGTTGAAAGGGGTGTGTTCAAAAAAATAGCAGTGTCTGCCGTTGACTGTACAAACACAAAACTATGTTGTACAAACGTTTTTGTTTATAACACATTCTTCTTTTTGCATGCATTCTGTAATCCCTTGCTCATCCACGGTCTCTCACTGTAATTCTTTTTATTTTTATACCGCTTACGAGGACAGTTCCTGTCATATACAGTCTTAAATATGTTTAAAAAGTTCTCATATGCATTATCTAAGTCTTCCTCTCTGTAAACTGATTCCCAGTTTTGCCCCATAAAATCCTCTTTTAGCCTCCTTAAAGCATGTTCATTCATCTCCCTCCTATAGAAAAAATTTGTTTTTGGCCTCTCTTTTCTATACTGGCCCTCATAAACCACAAATATTGGTAGGTGATCACTAATATCATTTATAAGTAGTCCACTTGTTATTTTGCTGTCAATAACATTGGTAAATATATTATCTATTACTGTAGCATGCTGAGTTGTTACTCTACTTGGTTTTGTAATCTTTGGATATAGACTACATCTGTATAATGTGTTAATAAACTCCTCAGTTCCTGTGTGCTTGTTTGGATTTAACAGATCTATATTGAAGTCACCGCATATGAACATTGATTTATGACTTATTAACAGAGGGACTTTGCGGGGGATTCTTGAAAATAGATTAGCTTCACACAGACATTTTCTAACTGTTACAGTACTTGCAGGTAACTCCAGACTGTCTTTGATCATTGGCTGGGCCTTTGCCATTCTGGTTATTCTTCGATCCATTTTGATGGTTGTCTTCCGTTTTCTTCCACGTCTCTCTGGTTTTGCTCTCCATTTTAAGGCATTGGAGATCATTTTAGCTGAACAGCCTATAATTTTTTGCACCTCTTTATAGGTTTTCCCCTCTCCAATCAACTTTTTAATCAAAGTACGCTGTTCTTCTGAACAATGTCTTGAACGACGCATTTTCCTCAGGCTTTCAAATGCATGTTTAACAAGTGCTGGCTTCATCCTTAAATAGGGGCCACCTGATTCACACCTGTTATTTCACAAAATTGATGACCTCACTGATTGAATGCCACACTGCTATTTTTTTGAACACACCCCTTTCAACTAATTGCCCAATTTCACAGCCTTAAGAGCGTGCATATCATGAATGCTGGGTCTTGTTTGCTTTCTGAGAATCTACTGCACCTACTGGTAACTTGTTTGCCATGTAGCAATAAAAAATATACTAAAAACCTGGATTATTCTGGTTAGTCACATTGTACTGCTATTATTTTGAACAATACTGTAGTTATCGTTCTGGCCAGTAGGTAGAGATCTGGAGCTATCTTCTGTATATCACTGCAGAAATTTACCATGGGATACATGTTTGCATGACACGGACATCATGAAATAATCACCAGTGTGCGTCTATTAATGTGAGTAGTATTAATCGTGTTGATACTCAAATATCTGTGTTGTAAGACGCTAAATTTTGGTTAATCATAGTGGTTAATTCAGACCGTGTTGTGGCACTTTAGAACGCTAGCCGTTAGCTACTTAGCATTTATTTTACTACAGCTTGTAGTTCTGTGTTTTGCTCCCTGCAGTTGAAGCAGGAAAACCAACGATAATGTAACAGCTTCAGCTGACAAACTGTCCAAAGGCCAGAGAGAAGTGGCACTTGGCAGAAAAGAGAAATGGTGGCAGCCAGTAATAGTCTTTGAACTGTTGTGTGGAAAAAAAAAAAGATCAAATTTCAAAGTCAGAAAACAGTAGGTGTTCATCGGTGACTGACCTGGTGCCTGAGTGGAGATGCTCGATTCTGGCTGTATCTCCAACAGCCAACCTGAAGTCTCCAGTATACAGCACATTTCCCTGGGAACCCTCAAACAGGAACCTACACACACAAACACCACTTCATAGTTCAGCTTTTCCATTAGGCCTCACTTGAGTGTGTGTAAAGGTGAAATGTGGACATCAGCAGGATTCACAGAGTTAAATCTGAGACGTTTAAGGCCTTTTTAATACAACACAAAATGCTATTTGACCCCCTACCGT